CTATCGGTGACCATACTAGCGGGCTTCCACTGTACCAACCAGTTTGGATAACTTTCGAAAACTGAAAAATTTTTTGTGGCTTTTCATTTTAAAACAAACAGGAAGAGCGTCAAATGAGAGAGAAGTTTTTAAGAGGCACAATATTCAAGAGGTAAGTATTAGAAAAACCTTTTTAATTAAGAGAACCTGAATCATTTCACACTGTTTTAATGCTTTAAATATCACAGCACAGAAAAATACACATAATTATTAACGAAAACAAAGATGAAAAGGAAAAGACAGATTATTTTTACTAACTATTATACAACGAATGAAACTGACAGTAACATGAAATAACTGAGGTTTAATTTAGGCCTGACATTGCTCAACTTTCATAGTTTCTCTAGGAAAGGAAAAGATCGAGGGACGGGTGGATGGTTTTACTTTAAGGGGGACTTACATGTGTAGCAAACAATGCAATTAGCGAGTTAATAGGGTAACAGGTACAAGCCAACAAAGTTAAATAAGGAAAAGTTTCCATTTGCTTCAAATAATTACAGCAATGTGCTACTAATTTATGTCATTCTATCTCAATGATGGAATTTAACTTACCCTTAAAGAGGGACATGCATGAAAACGCTCCAACTAATTAGTGCATGGGAGTAAGTAATTACATGATATCTCCCAAGAAGAAGAATGAGGACGATGGCTTTACTTCTTAGTACGGTTTGCTGTATTATTATCTTGTTTAAAGGAGCTGTGTCACGAAATTCAGCCAAATTAGGAAATTACAAAATGCCTGTTAAATTAAGAGAAACATAAAAATAACCGCTTAAAACTTGAAAGGAAGGTTCAAATAACATAACAGAAACAACAGATGCCACAGATGGGCAAAACTGAAGAAGACTGAAATGGATTGAAATTAGGGTTTTTGAAAACTGTTCAGCCTAAGAGTTTTTCAAAGTTGATCCCTGCTGCTTGCAACTTCAAAAATAATGCTCAGGAGACATACAGGCGTATTTGTTTGTCTCGGATCTCTAATTTTGTCATTTACCTGTAATTTCTTTACTTACTTTAAAATACAGCGATTGAGGGCAAGTAATTGGCAAAAGTAAACAAAATTTAATTATTTAGATAAACGTTAATATATATATATATATATAAAATATATATATATATTTTTTCTTTTTCATTTTCTAAAGAGGACGAAGTGGAAAGGGAAAGAAGAGAAAGGCGGGAAAGAAGAGAAAAGAACCAAACTGAAGAAGAGGTAGTGTCTTTGCCTGCTAAGGGCAAGGGTGGATCATGATTTTTTTTTCCATGGTGGTCCAAAGTCGACCTCACCATCAAAACTATTTTACAGCTAATTATTTCCACCCTTCATGATAGTTATTTTCTAGTAAACTTCAACTACTTAGATCCATAAATTTGATCCTTTATTGGTAATAATTAATNAGAAAAGAACCAAACTGAAGAAGAGGTAGTGTCTTTGCCTGCTAAGGGCAAGGGTGGATCATGATTTTTTTTTCCATGGTGGTCCAAAGTCGACCTCACCATCAAAACTATTTTACAGCTAATTATTTCCACCCTTCATGATAGTTATTTTCTAGTAAACTTCAACTACTTAGATCCATAAATTTGATCCTTTATTGGTAATAATTAATAAAAATAAAAATAATCATTATTTTTAGTGTAAAAGCTGTTAGTTATTTAATTACATTTTTTTCTGGTCTGAGGGGTGAATTTAAGGGGGTTTTGGATCCCATGATCTTATCCTGGTTCAGTCACTACAAGGGTCTAGTTAATGAACATTTATAATTGGGGGGAAGAACATGTGATATTAATTTACTCATTAGTGCACAGTTAATGGTGAGTGATCGTTTGCAAAAGTGAAGAATAATTCTTACTTATTTATTTACTCTGTTCAAAAACTCTTTTTTTAGGCTGAGAGTGAAAAAGAAAGGCTGCGAAAGGTACTAGGATTATTATAGATTTTACTAAAAACTCAGGAGGGGTTATGTAAAATTATAAATTACAGCTATTGTAAAAGATTTTACAGATGAGTGGATTTACACAAGAATATATAGCAAGCCGCAATGAAACAAATACAATGGTAGCTTAGATTAACATTTTGGCCTGCAAATAAAGAAAAAAAAATCTCATAACATAGCACATAAATTTAAGAATCCCAACTGTTTGTAGTCAAGTCAGTTGACTTAGTCAACTGACTTGACTACAAACAGTTGGGATTCTTATATTTATAATCTTCAAGAAGGCATGGCTGAGGAGTTGAACTTGCCAATGCTGTGAACAACTGTTCCTAGTGGTGAGAGCGTGATTTGAACCTGATGTTATCAAGTTTGAATCCAGCACCAGCCACACAACTTGGTTATTCTGACTCCTCCAAGTCTTAATCATTTTTTATTTAAGGGTTTAGGTGGTGTACTGTACAGTTTTTTAGTAAACATGCACAGTGTAGTTCTCTTTATTCTTGTAGGAGAAAGAGCAAGATAAAGAGGTGCAAGCTATCAAGGTAATGTATCATCATCTAATGAAATTTGTGTGTGAACGAGACAGTGTTTATATATGTATGCCAGTAATAAAATTGTCTAAAAGAAGGTAAAATCTTTATCTAGTATACAAGTCATAAAAATAGTCTGTTGCAGTTATTCAGATGGTATGGAATGGAAGAGTGTCAGTACATGATTTCTATGAAACAACTAAGATTTTCTATGAGAAAGATGATTTTTCCGTCAGTGACACAGGTGACTCGGAAGAAAAAAATCCCAGTTTTCCAAAAGGCCGATTTAGAAGGTATGATTTTTGCCTATGACTATCGTGCAGGACTAGCATTGCGTCATGACTTCACAACAGATCGTGTTGTGTAAATTAGACCCACTTCATTCGTACGACACATTGGGGATGTCATAAGTGAAAATTGTGCACGTGTGGATGGTCAAAAGGCCTGAAGTATGTTAGTCGTGCACGATAGTTGTGAGCAAAAATTGTACTGTCTAAATCAGCCTAATAGGAGTTGAACCTATGACCTTGTGGTTACTAGTCCAGAGGCTCTACCACTGAGCTACAGGATACTCGTGGAAGCTGAGACCACTAGATTCATGAACCCAGGAGCAAATGTTAGGCACCAGGGGTCAAGCTGGCATTGCTAGAGCACAGCCTTGGTTTTCAAGATAGTGTTGGAAGGCAAAAGGTCTTGTAAGTTCATAAAAACGTCTACTTAGAGAAACTTGGAAACTACCTACCTATCCCTCCCCTAACCCAAAATTTTGCCCCAA